TGTTCTCTCTGTGTCCTCACAAGGTCAAAGGGATGAGGGAGCTACCTGGAGTCTCTTCTTCTAGGGGCGCTAATCCCGTTTGTGAGAGCTCCGCCCTCATAACCTAATCAACTCCCAGAGCCCCCACCTCCGGGTACCATTACTAATAGACTTAAGAACCTAGAGATGAAGAGGTGAAGAGGGTGAACCGGACTGGGTGAAATCAAAGGAAACCTCTTTTACTTTAATGACAATTGGGAATCCCTAAAGCGAATTCGGTTCTGCACGAAATGTCCTTTGCTAATGGGGCTTCTGACTAGTGTAGTCTCTCTGATTATCAGATCCTCTTCCCAACTGGTTCTACATCAGAATTGTATTTGAGGTTCTACATCAGCAGGCTTTTTTTTTTTAATATAGGAAAATTAAATTTTATGTGTACTGTATCACTCTTCAAGCTCTATGTGACTTAGGATTCACAAGAACTGATTATACTTGAAATTGGCTTGACATTTTTCAACATTGGTATCAGTGCCAGTAGAGTTTATATAAAAGTGTGGATAGAGGGGTTCTTATATTACAGATAGGAATTAGATTTCAGATAGGAATCTGTAATTCTGTCTTGTCTTTGCTTTAGTATCCGTGGGCTTGCTGCTTTCTCCTAAAGATATCATTTATTTCTATGACTAGATAAAAGAAGAAAATAGAAAACAATTCACTCATTTTTTCCTGGAAGAGTTGCATTAGTAGCTGGAAAACTCAAATGTATTAATATCTTTGGAAATCAGGTTTAATTACAGAGACACTAGTTTGATGTTTAGTGTAGTAAAAAGAAGTGACCCTAGTTTTATAGCTTGGCTCACTTGGGTAATCATCCTATGTTCCAAACTTACTTTACTGTGTGACCTTGGGCATTTCTGAATCTTAATTTTGTCTTCTATAAATTAGTATTAGCAATTCACAAATCACAGAACTGCTGTGACGATCAAAGATAGTGTATGTAAACCCAAATTTTGCATAGCACCTGGCATGTAATATGTATTCAGAAAAGGTTAACTGTTATTATTATTAGAAACTAATAGTTTCTTAAGAAAAAAATTTCAGTAAATTTAAAACAGGTTTTAAGTCACATTGGCATGCGCATACATTTAGCCAGTTTTTTTCCTGATGCCTTTTCACTAATTTTTATGTTGTTCCTTGCATATTCTATGAAACGTGAGATTGCATTTGAAACAATGTTTTGGCAATAAATTCACTTCTTTGTATTCTTAATGGACACTACTACCTTTAATTGCATAGAATAGCTTCGTGCTTAGATAGAATTCAGTAAGACAGGTTTTATTGATGAAGATCTTAGGGCTGAAAATTTGCCAGAAAATGGAAGCAATTGATAGAACCTGGTTTGCCTAACCACGTTAATTGACCTAATTCCAAACTGCTTTGTCTGTTGTTCAAAGTCTTCTATGAACTGGTTCCTTCCACTCCAAACTTATCTTCTACTAATCCATTTCTTCTTATGTAGCCTGAATGAACTTTCTGGCATCATAAATTATTTTTATTAGCTCAGGATATAAAGCATTTCCACCCCACTCAATACGTTCACATTTCATTTGTTCTAAAAGACTTTTCTCAGAGTCACCTGTCCCAGGAAGCCTTGCTCTTCCTTTCATTCCCATTGGTACTTTTCTGTAGAGGTTGTAGAGTATCTATCTTTCTGCATTGTAATATAACTGCATTCCCCATGTCACATCTTTCCTATTATATTAAAAGCCCCTTGAAAGTGGGATCCATGCTGGATTAATCTTTGTGCCCCTGCAGTACTGAGCAGAGGGCTTCATACCCGGTCGGCACCCCATATATATTTGTTGAAGTGGTCACAGTTCAGATTTTTCAGTTCGGGATATGGGTGTTGAAATATCACACTAAATGATGTGAGGAGATGGAGAACTATGTACTCAGTATTCTAGAAAGACATGGCCTCTAACTTCTTATATAAATTTTTAATGGAGCATACCCATATCCGTAACAGTTTATCTTTAAAACTAACTCTTCGTTTTCTTCTATGAGTAATAGTGAAGAACTGAAGTTTACAATTAAGCCTCACTTCCAATCAATGTGTTCCATAAATGGAATACAAAAATAGAACTTCATTTATAAAATGCTTTTATAAAATGTCTGATATCAAGGCAAAGAACTTTGAATGTATCTTCATACTCGTAATGGCCAATAAAGACTAATCAGCATTTTCACAGGGACAGCAAAACATTATTATTTGCAATCATTTAAGACTTAAGTAAAACATGGTAGTTGAAAAAGATTTAAATGCTTCTTAAACTGACCAGAACCATAATGCTAAGTAATCCCACCTCTCATTTAAGGTGGGCTTCTTGGTAGATTCCTAAATCTCTGTGAGTTACAGTTCATTTGAAGATGAGGATAAGAGCAAATGGCCTGCCTGCTCTGTGAGTTGTTGAGAGAGAAGATCAACTATTATTAGATAAGTGAAGGAGCTCTTAATCTCTGAATTGCTTATAAAATATAACTACTATATTTGATTATAATACTTCTTTACAGTCTTTAAAAGAAAATGGTTTGTATCACTGTGGGAAGGGTCCAGGCACAGCTGGGCATCTCCTTTGTGTTGCCAAGAAGAACCTGTGCTCTGTAAAGGACATGCTGGCAAGCTCACAAATTGCATTGCATGCAAAGAGCTCAGAGCCCAGCTAGTACACACATCTCTGATCCCTCTGTATCTGGCACAAGCAGACTTTTCTTGAGACTGTTTAGCTCCGTGTGCTTCTACGGCCCTTGCGTGCTCCACCAGCTTTCTGCATTCCAGACCCTGTGGGGTCAGAGGTGGAGTCCTTCTATGGTAGCACAAGGTGGGGCATGCGCAGCCACACTGCCCACATTGGCTGTGGAGTCAATCCTCCAGCCATGGAGGACCAATGCATTGAAAGGGGCTGGATCTTGTATTCGCTCTCTTTCCTTTTGCTGTAAATAAACATAATAGCGCTTGAGCCTGGTGTGCATATTGTCTGTCCTCATGGACCTCAAATCATGCACTGGTCTCTTCCCTGGGTGGCACTTACCTGCCTTTCAACTTTGGCCGCACTCATGTTATGTTCTATTCGGGGTTACAGCCTGACCACTTAATGAAACACTGTTATTTTAGTTTTATTGTCATACTGGAGGTGTTTTTGTACAATCTGTGTTACAACTTCTCCATGTTGTTGCAAATAAAGATGGTATTTGCAGTTTCTTCGAGAGAAAAATAAAATGAAATATATCTCATGACAATAAAAATCAGCGTTTGCAGTTTTGCATTAATTCCTCTTTATGGCATGAAAAATAGAAAGCAATTTCACCTCAGAAAGCAGACGTGGCTTTGTGAAAAGAGATTTGTTGTGGCAAATCAAATATAGTACACAAGTCTGTGTGGAGGAATGTTCAAGATGGAAGATTTGTTTAATGTTCAGGAATTATTTTTATATTTCTGAATTTTGCATGTGTAATGAGCAACATACTAGTAAAAGAAAATAAGATGGAGGTCGTGGGGACTGAAAACTTTGAGGAATATGAAATGACCCACTTTGCTTTCTCTCTTTGTTTCCATGCCTCCCTCCACTGTTTAAAAGTGTTATCTGTGTTCACTAGCATGGGTACAAAGACACACACAACCACTACTCTATTTCATTTTCACGTTTGACACAGCTATAAGCTCATGTGAATATGTGTTAATGGCTGCGACTATAGGTGACTGGCAGAATCTTTCAATATTGGGAAATGAGAAGGCTCTTTTTGAATTTTTAAAAGCCCATTGGTATTTGCTTCTCTACATTACCAATTTATTAAGAGATATGTGAGTAATTTGTTTCTCTATTTGGCATAGACATGTCTCTAGAGTTTGTCTATGTAAGTAGATTGAGAGTATGTGAGATAATTCGAGAAATGTAGAAATTGTACCAAGAAGAGGAAGGACTAATGGAATAATAAAACACCAGTGGTCACACTCAATAACCTGCTATAGAAAGTCCAAAAGCATGTCTGAAAGTGATGGATTACCCAACAGTCTCAAAAGGAGAAGTGACTATTAAGCAGACATCTCACATCTTCTGGGAGAGTGAATCTTAGGATAACGATAATTATAATATTCTTATAATGAGGTATAACACTGTAAATAGTAAACCCAGTGGGATTTGGGGTGCCAAGGGATTATTGATAATGGAGATTTAAAAAGGAAGCCCTGTGGGGAAAAGTTAGGGATGAAAAAGCAGAAATGAAAAGAATGTATCTCTGTATTGTAAATACGTCAGATTTTCACTGGTTTATTCAGTCTTGATCATGCTATGACAATAACTGGGTTTCTTTTAGAGACTGGGGTTTCACTCAATTGGTAGGAAGGTAAAAGTAGTTCTTTCTCCTTTATTTCCTCTCCTGATTGGGAAAAAAGCTGATTGTATATGAGATTACTGGGAAATAATTATTTACTAGAATTTTATTAGGGTCTGGTGATTTGAGATCTTCAGGTGGTGTATTTTAGGTAAAAGATTATTGGCCAGGGTTCCAAGTATAGAGTCAACAATTTGTTCAATAATGTCCACTAAAACTCAAGCCATTCTGCAAGTTAGGTGACTTGTGGCTTACTGCTTCACAGCTTTCTCAAATATTACTTGAAGTTGAAAGAGTATCTTTTTCAGTGATCACTGTATTTCAGGTGGACAAGTGGCTGCTTTGTGATGTTCAGCTACTTCTATATAAGCATTGCTCAAATATTGCTAGATGGGATATTTTATAAGGTCTTGGGGTGCCTTATCCATTCAACATATGTATACAACTCAGCTAACAGAGCAAATACCAGTATCATGAGGCATAATTTTTTTTTTTCGTGAGGAAGATTGTCCCTGAGCTAACATCTATGCGAATCTTCCTCTATTTTGTATATAGGCTGCCACCACAGCATGGCTTGATGAGCAGTATATAGGTCCACACCGGGGATCTGAACTCATGAACCTTGGGCCGCTGAAGTGGAGCATGGAAACTTAACTACTACACCACTGGGCCAGCCCTGGGATGATTTTTTTTTTTTATTACTGTTGCATATATCATTGCAAAACCCAAGTATATCAGATAAACAATTATCTGAATAAAGTCTATATTAAATTCTGAAATCATATTGAAATATATCATTTTAGGAGCCTTGCATGATTTTTCAATTCCATGTTTTTTTGCTGTATGGTACCTGGCTGAGTCACTTGGAATACCCAATATCTGCCTAATAGGTGCTCTGTTTGTGGTTATCTGGTAATTCCTAGAAGTTTGGGGAAGGAATTTATTGTTGCAATTTTGAATGATGGAATGTCAAGCCTCCTCTTATTTCTTGTGATAATAGAGGATGATGTAATCATAAATATGTCCATCAATGATAATAGTGAAATCTTACACAGCTGATTCAGTTCATAAAAGCATGAAATGTGGACACTAATACAGTTTTCTGGTATTTTTCTTGTTCTGGAAAGATGCTACCATTTTGGCATACTGTCTCAGGATGCAGTAAGTTATGAGGAAGCTTCTACTACCCGTGTGTCGGCTCCTTTGTCTGGTGGGCACATTCTAGAACAGTGTCTTTCCCAAGTTGCCAAGTTGTATAAAAGCTCTCAGTTTTGTACACATCTTTTCCTGACTTATCATTAAGCCATACTGCCATGCTCTCTCTAAAATAGCTAAAATCTCTTCTAGCTATTGCCAGCGTTTCTTATGTCCTTCTCTCTCAGAGTAATACATCCACAAGGATAGTTGTTTTTCCCTTTGTTAAATCTTTTGAGCATTTTCTTTCTACTTCCTTTGCCACTGCTTAGGCTAAGACCCTTGTAACCTACTACTCAGTTTATCAAGAGCCCATTAACAGGATTTTCTGCTCAGTCTATTACAACATTCCATGCAAGTTGTTCCCTACATCACGGTCCTTCAGTTGTCTCCCAGTGCCTGTACCACATTTACTGTCTGCCTGCCCAGTCTAATTCTAACTTATTTTTCCATCTTTATTGTTCATAATGTCGTTACACGAACCATCGATTCCCAGTAAATTGGTTCACTAGAACATGCCATGCAGAGTCTAGACTGTCACCATGCTTTTGGTTATTCAATACCTCTTTCTAAAATATCTTAATTCTTCCCATCCTTCATGGCTAACCTCAAGCCTTATCTCCTCCATAAAGTCTTTCTAAATCCATCATTGCTGGCCTAACAAAAGCTGCATTCATAATAGGCTTTAAATAAAATAATGTGGGAGACTAACTGAATTTATAACATAGAAAGTGGTCAATACATTTGAGTTTCCTTACCTCCGCACTTTTCATTATATGTCTCAGGATGATGATGCATTTCTAGTTTAACCTTGTAGGTGACTATCTCAAGGACTTTTGAAGACTCTTAGAGCCCTACACGTAATGTGCGAATTACAGTTAGTCTAAAAGTGGAAACTGGATTGATTAAAATTGCATTACCTGGGTGAGGATGTGAGGGCTGAGTGGACTCAGTGCTCTCATGGAGTGTGGTGATTCTAACTCATAAAGTTGAATTTAATGAGTAACTATCAAACACATACCTGTGTATTGTACTTAACAACTTTATAGGGTCAATAAATACAGAACATTATCTAGGAGTATCAGTCTTTTGCCTTCAAGCAATCTGAGCTATACATGACATTTAAACATAATGTCATTGTATATACTCTCCTAGATTTATTGTTGAGTACTAGTCTACTACCATTTATCTTTCATGAAAAAATATTTATTGAAACTAGTCCCTGTCCTTGTTTTTTATATTTCTGAAATTCAGAATACCTTTTCTTTATAATTATTCTTTTGTCTATTGTGTTTTTTTATACCAAATATGTTTCTCAACCACTAAGTTTAAAATGTATGCAATTAGTTTGAACCTTTGTATTAAATCCCAGATATCAATGATGGATATTTTTAATGTAATAAAACGGAGAAAAATGAACATTCACAGCCTCCCTTTTCTTCAAATAGGATGATTCCCGTAAATATACTGAGACATGCAGTTGGGGTGGTAAGGGTGGTGTTTTGTTTTCAGTGCGGAAGAAAGAGATCACAACCTAGCACCGAGGATGATTCATACAGTGCAGTGTTTCCAAGAGCTCCACGGTCATGTTTATAGCAACTGAGTGTATCAAGGTTCTCAAGGAAAATGAGAAACTAAGCACAACTGGTGGAGTGTGAAGCCCAAGATTGGTTAAATCTCCTCCGGCCGGCAAGAGAGTTACTACCCCAGACTCTCTCCCCGGCTCACTGCGGGGATTGTTCTCGATTTGGTGGTAAGGTCGATACCTCATTTATAATATATTATGAGCAGTGGTGTTTGAAATGGAGATATTTGTGCACATGTCTCAGTACTTGTTGTTTCTTTGCTTTTATACTGACTACACCAACTAATGAAAGTGAAATACAGCCTCAATGCACACATATGTCCTTGGCCAAAATTTGCAGACTGAAGGATAGATGAGGATGTAGACTAGAGTGTTATATTTGATTTTTTAAAAGTATTGTTGTCTTGAAACTGTAGCATAAGGTGCACTATTTTTCATAATAGATAAAAATGTATTAATATAATTGTGCTAAATTATGTCTCTTGCTTCTATCATTCTAATTTTAAATTTCTGTGTCTGCAACACTGTGACTAGATAGTGATATATAAACAAACATTGCATACTATCGGGAGTTTTGTATTTAAAGAAAGCTAGTTGTGAATCTTTTTGTAAAGTGAAATTTTGGTAATCTAAAAAATATCATTTTATTAAACATATTCAGAATTTCAGACTTTTCTGAGAGATTTGCTTAAACCTTGGCTCTAAGATAATCACTAAAGGTTGGCTTTAATAAAATTTATGTAGTCATATATATATGCGTATATATTTATTTATTATTAAATATATATGCTTAACAGCATATTGCTAATTTCCAAATAATAATTTATATGAATCAAGCATCATTAGGGCAGCATTTCAGTTCACTGATAGTCACATGAGACATAACTCTCAAATAGATTCGTAATTTACATGTAAGTAAGGAAACCATAAAAATATCAAACAAAAAAATAGATACACCATTAACCTTATGTTTAATATAACTGTTGCAAATAAGTTCCACAGTTTAAGTTCTGTGCATGTAAACATATGTATGACTGTAAACATATACCTGAGAATATATGCATACAGTTACTTTTCTAGAACTTTGCCTTGCAGACAAGTTATATAAAAAGTGTACATAAATATATACCATATCATATTTAATATCATTTTAAAAATTTCAATATTTATCTTGAGATGTCTTTGTATTTTCCAAGTTTCTTCAATGAACTTGCATTTCTTTTATAATAAAAACAATTTTTTTAAGGAGGATAGATGCAGAATGTTTAATTCACATTTCAAATCCAGAAGAAAATTTTGTGGTTAAGAAAACCCATTAAATTAACTTTTAAAAATATTTTTCTTTTGGAAATTCACTTCAGTATTGTTCTCATTATTATTTTTAAAATGCCAAAATATAATAGTGCTTTTATTTATCTTAGCTTCACTCTAAAATAGAACATTTGGTGTATTTAGTCACATTTGGATGCAATGTAGTTGTTATCAGGTAGTTTGTTAAAAAGGAATTTTCTTCCTTTTTTTTAATCTCTGCCACTACAATTTTGTGTCAAAAAGCCAATCAATTCTGTCAGGGACCAGGATGGTGCTTAAGAAATTGAAAACATTTCTGCTGGCAGCTTTGCTATTCATTTCTGACACTCTGCTGGTACAATATTGAGCACTTTAATTTATTGAAGTTGCTATTCGGAAAATACAAGCTATACGTTCTCCTACATGGAACCTATTTCAACATTTCTTTACACCTGTTTGGACACAGTTCATAGCTTTGTAATAAAACATTGCACATTAATCCTTTTTAAAGTGCAATATTAATGATAGGTAAAACTATTAACTATTTTGAATCCAAGATTCACTTTTAACATTTGCATAAATCATGCGATACCAAACTAAGAAGATTTTGCATGTGTGAAAAACTGAACTTTTGTTTGATTTGGTTTTGTTACGTTTTCAAAATTTGGATATTTTGAATAGGATTTAAAATGTAGATGCCTGCTTTTAAAAAGCCCACTTTACTTATTTGATATCAAAATTACGATCTACTTCTTTTTGCAAGGGATGAGGCAAAACCTATAGATATGCTAATCACTGGGATGAATGCTAAGAATGAGAAGGAAGATGGTCAGAAATTGAATCTGAGCCATTACTGTAGAAAGAGCCAAGGTCAAGGCAGGGGAACCAAGATAAGTCCATAAAGCTAGAGACAGAAGCATGTGGTAAGAGCAAGTACAACTTAAAAAAGGAGTGAAGGGGGCCAGTCCAGTGGTGTAGTGGTTAAGCTCGGGCTCTGCTTTGGCAGCCCGGGTGACCTTGGGCACAGACCTATGCACTCCTCTTCAAACCATGCTGTGGTGGCATCCGGCATACAAAATAGAGGAAGATTGGCACAGATGTTAGCTCAGGGACAATTTTCCTCAAGCAAAAAGAGGAAGATTGGTAAGGGATGTTAGCTCAGGGCCAATCTTTCTCTCCAAAATAAACAAATAAATAAAAATAAAATAAAAAAGGAGTAGGGGAAGAAGACTTCTGAGCGATTTTAATGAATGGCATTGAAGTTTAGGACTTACCTTTATGGCTATTCATTAGATATATATGGCAGATTAAGCTGGCATAAGGGCAAATCTTCAGGCATATTCTACTTGGTGGATTCTGGTTTGTTTTGTTGGAGACAGTATAAACAAACATTTTTTTCACTACAGTTTTCTAATTATGAATAAAGCTAAGAAAATCTATCCAATTTTGTAGAGCATGTTGGTGAATTTCTTTTCAGTACTAACTTGATTATTTTGTAAAAGGCTCAATTTGAAATTATAAAATCTTATACTCATTGCATCAGACATTAACAATCCTTTATTTTGATGTGATATCTGAATCATTAACACTGTATACCATTATGTGACAGGATTTTATTAAATTTTACCTATACAGGTTGCTGATTCCAACTAAATTGGACACTACAATTGTTATTCACTATGTAAGATAAAAACGAATTGTTTTAGAAACAATAATTTAATTGTAATCCATAATTTACATGCAAAGATCTGTTAAAAATATCACCCTTGTAAATGAAATAAAGTAGCTCAAAAATTTCTATTGTCGTTGCCATTAGTGTCATCTTTAAATGCAAACTGGGTATACATAGATTTTAGAGTATGTGAAGGCAAAAACTCAATGTGCTGAATCCAAAAATACAAATTACTATTTTGTACCCATAGTTAATCTCCTCTGTCGTTACCCACAACTGTAGTGATTCTGAAATTTTAGGGTGCAGACTTACAGGTACATACAAATGTCCATTCCTGACACAGTATGCCTTCTACATACATGTTGTTACATACATGCTGGTGCAAGACATCCACAGACGACATTTTGAGAACATCACAGTACAGACAACAGTCTACAATTAAACTGTGGGTCATGAACAGTGTCTCCTGGTGGCTGACAAGAGGAAGAATTTAACCTAAGTTTGAACACATAGCACGTTTTCTTTTTGCCCATTCAGAATGCCATTTGCACACTTCCAAGAGTGTGGCTAAATCCATCTTAAAAACACTTTTATTGCTTTGTACACTTTTGTCCTTCATCTTTTTCTACTGGTTTGCCTCGTTAAATCAGGAAAACATCACATTCTAATTTCACTGGTAAGAAAAGAAGCAACCCTTACCACAACTGAAAGCATAAGTAGTTTTAGTATTAAAATTTTATTAGGAAAAAATACAGCCTTACATTTTGAAATGAATTAAGGTATAATAATCAAGTACTGCTGTAAAGAAGCACTCAAAATTCTCTTTCAATTTTCCATGAAAGTTTCTAGCTACCTCCTCCACATGTATCTGCTTTTCTTATAATTATAGGTAATAGAAAATGAGTTAAAACATCCAATGATTCATATTTAATTCATAAAATGTTTTTTATTTAAGCCCAAATCAACTGGAATAGTAGAAGGTTATATATGAGGAAATGTATTGGGAAGTGTACAACATTGATTTTTACATACTTTAATGTGCAGAATTTGTAATTTAGGAACTGTTTTATTTTGCCAGATACAAATAGTTATGTAGTAAGCAACTATTTTGCTATTAATGGTGGTGAGGAATATTTAAAGCTTCTTTGTTTGATTAATGATATGAGCAGAGAACATCGTTGCTAATCAAGGGAACTTGAGTTTGCTTGCTGTCATTCTAGATACAGACTAAGTTTTTTGAGAAAATCTGTTTATTAGAAATGATCTACGTCAGTGGTTCCCAAAATGTGGTCCCCAGACCAGCAGCATCAACTTCATCTTGGAACTTCTTAGAAATGCAAGTTCCTGGGCCTCACTTCAGACCTACTGAATCAGGAACTGCAGGCGAGGTGTAATGATTCCGATGCATATTTAAGACTGAGAACCACTGATCTCCGTAAATGGAGATGTCACTTATGATGGGGAGTGTATGACCAGTTGTACCATAAGAAAGCAAGAAAATTCTCAATGAATCATCTCTCCTAAATGATACAGGGAAAATTCTTCATTAAGGAAAAAATCAAGGATCCAGCAGAAACCGGCAAGGCACAGGAGTGTGGAAACCACATGACGCAAATGGAACAGAGATTAAAGTCAGGTGTTAATCAGTCTTGGCGGTTGCCATGCTTCCGTACACACAGCCGATTGTGATCCATGAACAAAATCCAAAAGGACAAATAGAAAGAAAAAAATCTCTGCTTTCCTTTGTCAGAGTGTCTTACTGCTTAGCATTCTTGGTGACTATTCATCTGTTTCCTTCTTGTCAACATGCTGACAACCAGCACCAATCAACACTTATTCTTGTTTCCTTGTTTTTCTCCCTCCTTTGTTTTTCATTCTAAAACCTTCTTTGTCCCAAATCAGAGTTTTAGATTCTAAGAAAATTACCTGTCACTGTAGCAGAGATTTTTAAAAAATAAATATATATTCCACAATTCAAAGCTTCTAATATATTGTAAATCCTCCAAATAAACTATTATTTTTCCACTTTTGACTTTAAAAAGTCCTTAGACATTGCATGACTGGCGAAGATACAGTGATACATAAGAATATGAATAAAATGCAATTAGTGCCATGAAATGTGTCTATATTTTGCCCTTTTTCTATGCCTGCCTTTCTTTTCTTTTCTCACTTTCTTCATTTCTGCCTACCTACACACATTTACTTC